ACGTACATTATTTTTACATATGCATAGGTTTCTCAACTTTTGGCAGGGTCCCCGAAATTGGTCATGTCTCTTTACACCAATCTGAACAGCTTTCTGGGTTGGGGTCTGCTGCAAGGTTCATTTTGAGCTACTGTGCTGTGTTATAGGTTCTCCTCACGACCAACTTGGGAAGGGAAGCGTAGGCTTCCGATGGCAGTTGGTAGGCATCCATTATAGAGCCAAAGAATTTCTGATATGGATTGCCAGAACCACTTGTTGGGCGATTTTCAACGGCCTCCGCACAGCAGGAGAGATCTTCCACCCTCGAACGTTCCGAAGCTCAAAACCACAGAGGCGTCACTATGCATATCCTATATAAGCCCCAAACACCAACCCCCCAAACTCAACACCCCGAACCCTAAACTCAAGAATCCCAAACCCGAGACCCTGAACCCAAAACCTGCATCCCATACTCATGACCTCAAGCCTTTGCCCTAGGCGAGATCCATGAAGTCTTAATCCCTAGTCTGATTGATTGTCATACATTACGCGGGCGCCCTTTACTAAGCGATTCCAGCGATACAGCCGACATGAATTCAGGGTCTTTTGGGTAAAGCCCTCAGGCGCAGAAGCAGCGCTTGGAGGCTGAGCGCTTCGAGCCGCTATGCTGATGCTTAACATTTTTTCCCTAGGATGCCCAGTAGTACCCTTATTCCCTTTTTGTAGTCCTAGGTTCCTTATAAAGTTACCCAATACCAAAAAGAGAGGCCTTTTTATTCTTAGGTTACTGGGTATCCTAGTTCCTTCACGACCCAACAAGTGAGCAACCATTTCCAGATGTAGTTTGGGCGTCGTGAATGAAGGTTTCTGCATTTCACGTGGGGTCAGAGATGCTTCAGAAATTTGCGCGTTCGAGCCGTGGTGTGCAGCTGTTGCGCCGAGGGAAACTTCAGTGGTTTTCAGGTTTCGCTTGCAAGCTTTTGGGGGCTCATAGAGACCCCAAGAAGCACAAGGACAAACAACAACCGTAAGGTTGCGATATCCAAGAATGCCCTCCTATGTATTCCACAGCAAGCACTAAACGCTAAAGCCTCTAAAGTAAGGATAGCGCCCTTAGAGTTTCTTGAAGCCGCACAACCCGCAAAGCACAAACCATTCAAACTTGCGACTCAACACAAGGCGCACAAATCCAACAGAATGTCTATAGGCCCCCAAGCCCTAGATTTCTAAACGCTCACACCGGTCCAAAATCCCATTATCTTTCTTGGATTCTGTACCACCTAAACAACGGATTCCTAAGCTTTCCAAAGAACCTTCAAACCCCCAATATTAGAATCTGCAAGACGTTACATCAAGGGTTGAGGGTTTAAGACTTATAGGGCTTTAGGACTTGCGGCTTCAAAACCTAAGGAAGTGGCGTGAGAAGCTGGAGCATCGCGATATGGCTCGAGCGAAGCTTTGGGAGAGCCTCGCCCGGATTGGGGTTTATAGGGTTTCGGGTTTAGGGTTTTTGAGGTCTCGGGTTTAGGGTTTATGTATAATATAATATAATATGATATAGCATGTATATATATATATATAGATATAGGGGTTTATGCTTTGGCCTTGCATAGGAGTCAACAGGTGGAGGATTTCAGGCAAGGAGTAGAACTCAAGAAGCCTTAGGAGCCCTCAGACACAATAGGCCCTTAGCAAGCTGGAGCCCTGCACACTAGGCTCCCAAAGTAAAATCAAAGGGGCGTAAAAAAAAAAGGATTGGGCTAATCGCACCGAGAGAAAAGCGCTTAGATGGTAAAGTGATCTACACCCTAAGCCCGAAACCCTTAAACCTAAATCTCAATCAACAAGAGCAAAAGCTTCATTATCGCCCAGGAAGTCGCCCAAGGTGGCCGAGCCGGCCCGGTCGCCCCGCAACTCGCCGCTCGGCATGGAAGCCCTCACGGAGACTCCAATGGGGATTTTTTGGGGTTTAAAGGGCTTCGGGTCTGGATCCCCGATTTTCACGTCTTAAGGTTTGGTCTGGTGGGTTTAGGGTTTAGGGTTGAATATGTTGAATGAGAGGTTAGGGTGTGGGGGTTCAGGTATTGCCTGTAGAAGGAGCCCAAAGTGTCCAAGTATCATTATGGTATATTTTTCGACCCCTAGAATACTCTATAAGTATATACCATAGTGATACTTGGACCTTTTGGGGAAGAGTCCTGGCAGGCTCGTCTCTGTGTCCCCGAGCCCATCGGGTCGGTCGCAGAGCCCTCGGTCGCAGCTCCAGGCGCCCAAAGCTGCACAGGGAGACTACCAAAAACAGGGGGTTTAAAGGGATTTTACAAAAGCTGCTCGGTGGTTTTATATGGTTTTTTCACAAAGATCATTTAAAAGGGTTTTGTATGGAATCTTTTCCGTTAAGGAGAACGATCTAACTGGAGGTTGTGCTTGCTTTGCGGTGTCGTTGTGGTCGGTGTTGTAAGGAAAAGGTTTGTGGCGGTGTTTGTTATTGCTCCACGTGAGTGGCTTCTACAGGTATGCTCGTTGATGTGTTTGCAAGGCCTGACGGCTGTTCAACGATGGCATAGAGTTTAGGGCTTTGGGGTTTCGTGTTTGCGGTTGCAGGGTTCAGGGCTCTACCATGGGTCTAAAAGTCCTAGGGCCCTAGGGTAGGGTGCAGATGTTGCCGGTTCAGGGCTTTAGACTTCTCGGGCTTTGGGGACAGGTTCTGCTGTTGTACATGTACATAGCCTACAGAACCCAAGCAAGAACCTGCACCAGAAAGATGATTGAAGCGAGTGCTAGTTCGCACCCGTCAGTACACTTTGCGGTTAGATTTCGGTGTTTACTTACTCGTGAAAACTGGATTATCGGAAAGACGGCACCCTTGTCTGAAAGAGGCTTCTGGGGACATCTCTGCATAGGATTCGGATAAGCCTAACCTAGCTTATGACTCACACGGGCACCTGCAAACACGCTTTGACCCGTTGTAGAGGCCTGAGCAATTAGTCATCATATCCCCGTTTGGTCTCTGCATCAGTGCTTCAGAAGATACCCCAATGGCCCAAAGCCCTAGTCAATCTGCTAAGACCCCTAGATTATGAGGCCCATACTGCATGTCACTTTGGCCTTAGACTCTAAGGTTCACTCTTTTTAGGCCAGTCGTTAGGTTCTTGGGTTCTTGTCCTGCGATGCTCCTCTTTTTTCAATGGATCTCCCACAAGCCACTTCTTACAGACTGCTATGTTTCTCGGATACATCCTTCAGCTACCCCAGATCCGGTAACAGAGCGAACCCCAACAAGGAGTCTCACCATGATGTTGTAGATTTACCACAGGGTTCTGTGTTTCACATGCATAGATTTCTGCAAGGATTCGGATTCGGAAAAGCATTGCCATGCAAGTCCTGCAGCTCTACTACGAGACAATGTTGCATTCGGCTCCAGAACATCATCCATATTGAAGATTCTCAATTAAGGAAGTGCTGCTCAGGGACCGTAGGATGTCTATCTGAGGGGAACCCTAAACCATCAACCCCTCATAACATAGAGGGCTCAAAGGACACCTTGGAGAACCCTTACAGGAACCCTTAAGCCCTGAACCCCTAAAGCCAATATACCCCGAACGTCTAAGAACAGGTCTTGGGCTCTCACGTCGCCAGAGACTCCGAAATCCTTGAATCAGTGTATAGTCCTGAAATGATGGAGAGTCCTTCTTTCGAGTTGCAGAACCTTCCCCAGGTTTTACAAAGCTTCTTGTTTACGAACTACGAAGTACTGACTGTTCCTCAATCGCGGGACCCTAAACCCTAAAATCGAGCTGCTTCTGAATTAAGCGGTGCTACAGTTTGACCCTCTGACTGCTTATGACCCCTTGTAGAATAGTTGAAGAAGCCTGTTAGCTTTGAGACGCCTTGAAAATCCTCGTTGTGGGCAGGTGCCCTTTAGCCCCGGTCTGTCTCCATCTTCTTCCTTCGCCGCGTCGGGGCGCGCAGTGACCTTCCACGACTCTCAGGGCCTTTGTTTGGAGTTTCAACCAGTTGCAACATCCTGGACGTGTTCTTGGTACGATAGAAAGCGAAACCCACAAATGGTTAAAGATTCCTTCATACTTCGAGGTGCATTGCTTAATGGAAGGGTTTTGGAGTCTATGGGCTTAGGTTGTAAAACTCAGTGTGCTTCTGTCAGTTATATTGGGTTGGTGGCTTGTGGTTGCTGGCTTCAGGTGCAGGGCTAGACTAGGCTTGAAGCCCCCGAACCCGGTGGAGGTGTAGTATGCTTAGATGTTGAGGTCAATCGAACTTCGCAGCTTGGGCCATGTAATTCGCCGGGTTTCGTTTAAATTTAGTAGAGTCGTTACGGTATAAGTTTTCGAAGGGGTCAGAGAGTTCGGGCTGATCCAGGGGCCAGCATGCCGTAATGCCCTCTAAGTCATGATGGGCAGGATCATCGGGCTTGGTGCGGTCGCTGCTCAGTTAGCCTGTAAGACTACAACCCTGAACCTACAAAACGGCTGAAACCCCAGATACCCCCTGTCCGAGGCTCGTGTCTCCGCGGCAGCGGTTGCGCAGCTGGGACATGAACATCGCAACGTACACGAGGGAGGAGCTGGATCTATGGGTCTTCTCAGGGCTTTACGAGGGCTGCAAGCAAGAACTTAAATAGGGTTTTGCGAGGGTGAACAAAATGTTGTTTAAGGGTGTCCAAAATCATACTCTTAAAGAGATTAAAGCGTTCTGCAATGTGTTCAAAGGTGTCGGATGGCGTTTTACATGCAAAAAAGTGTGCGAGGCCTTGCCAGTTTAGGGAACGGGGATTCGGGCGTATGCTAAACCCTATAAAGTTGACCTCGTCCCCAAAGCTGAGGCCGAAACTCTTTCATGGCATGGGCATGGCTTTCCGACATCGGCCCCAAAACGGTGTTCAAGCCGGGACTCGGGGCTTTGTTCCTTGCTTGCGCGGGCTTCCACTCCGCCGAAAAATGCAAGGGTAGGGGCGAAGGCTTCAGAGGAGCCAGCTGCTCAGCAAACCGATTCGCCCCCAAATGTGGCTGCACTCCGACACACAAGTCGCCAAGCCAGATGCATCAGTCAAGCGCCACAACTTGGTTGAGATGGAGGCCAAGCTCACGTGCCAGAACTCAGATTGTGCACTTCCTGCGGTCAAGAAGGATCGCTACCTGTATGAGACAGGTGCGCGCGCTATGTGCCCCATCACGCGAGCTGCAAAGAAAGACAAGCCCGAACCTTTCATAGGAGGTGTGAAAGCTGTAAACTCAGCACCTCGTTATCCTTACAGCCCAAGCAACAACCCGGACGTGAGCCCTAAACCTTAAATCCGAACCCCCCGATAGGCAAGCCTCAACCCTACACAAGGCATTAGCGATTTGGCGCCTCCTCAATCCGAACTAAGGCAGAGATGTGGGTCAAAGGACCCCAAAACTCCGAGTAAGTGCTGACGCAAGCACGCGATAAGTGGGTGTGCCCCAATTCTTAAAGAAGCGCACCCGCTGCACGCACACTGTGTATACACCCTGAACCCTGAACCCCGGGAAGTCTACAGCCAACCCTAAACGCTAAAATGGGTTTGCCTCTGCCTGAGAGGTCCAAAGGGTCCTTTGTACTGTTATGGGGGATACTTCCCTAAGTCATATTAGGTAATTCCTAATATGGAAACCCTAAGTCATATTAGTATTTCCCAATATGGAAACCCTACATTCTACTATAATATCGGTACATAGGACCCTTAGGGAGGTGTAATTAGGGTTCAAGCTTTGGGGTCCGGTGGAACCCGAGCCCTCCAAATAAGCCCTATAAGCCCTGCACCTGAAACCTTAACCCAGGGAAATGCATCCCATTTTGGTTTGGTGTTGCAGGGCTTCGTGGATGAGGTTTCAATCAACCCGAATCCCGTGAGGCTTCTTGCAGCGGATAGGTTGGGACCTAATTTGCAGAGGACAAGAAGGCTTCCTAGACCCGCCAACTAAGCTGTCGTGCTCCAGTAACAGACAGCCTGAAGACCATGATGGTGCAGACCTTATAAACTACAGTAAATCGTGAACCAGTCCTTCAATAAAACTCAAAGCTGAACCCTGGATCACAAACAAACGCATGCCCTTAAGCTGCTAAGCTAGAACCCTGGAGTTCCTTGTGGTTTTGAAAGGTTGTATGGAAATCAGTGTTTTGCTGATTCTAAAGCTCATGGGCAGTACAATCCCTACTTCGAGGTTTCGCCCGAGGTTACCTGCGACCGATGTATAAGTCGCCTGCGTGCGGTCATATGTAGTTAGCCCAAGGAATCGCTAGGGACCCCTAAGAGTAACGCCAACGCTGTTAGAGGGTTCCTTACCACAACTATCTGCAATTTTGGTATATTTCAACTATAATAACCCCGAAGCCCTATTCTAATCATTAGGGCACCTACATGAGGTTTCCACTTCCAGTGTTCTGTCAGGAGGTGCATACCCTCGAAAAGGAGAGACGGGCCGAGCTTGCCGACAAGGCGGTTTTCAGGGCCAAGGAGGGTTGACAGGCGATCTAAGGGCCTTACTGGAAAGGGTTCTATAAGGGATCCATAATAGGTTTTAATTTAGGGGCCTGAATAGTTACCTATACTATTTCGGGGATTCCTTTTGTTTTTCGGCGTGTCGGTGTTGGCGATCGTGTTTGCCTTTTCTGGGCCGATGTACCGTGGAAGTATGCTCAGTACCAGGACTCCAGTCTTGACAAAGACTGTGGTGTTCGATAGAGTTTGTTTCAGCGCATCTGTTTTCGGGATTCGTCAGGGTCATAGTAGATAGTAGATGCCCATGTTTTCCAGTGTTCGACAGGCTGGTGTGAACTCCGGCCCGATGACACAGACTGCCCACGGTAAGACTCCTGCATCACTCGAAGTACCCCAAGCTACTGGAAGGATGAGTCATGAATGGATTGGACTTGTGTTGGCCTCATATTGAAGCAGAAAGCGTTCCGCTAGACCCAACACCCTAGAATCCTATACCTCGAAACATTCACCTCAAACCCTGTGTTGAGGTGTTCAGCTTCTAGAAAGGATCCCAAGACCCTCGACCAACGACTCCCGATAAACCCTAAACCCTATACGCCCTAAACTTCCGAAGCCCAAAACCAACAACCCTATAAACCCTCACCCCTAGACCCTAGACTCGTAAACCCTAAACACCTAAACTCTAAATCTAAACCCTAAACCTAAACCCCCTGCACCCTAAAGCCCTATACGCCCTAAACCCTGAACCAAAAACCCCCCCCTGTGCCCTCCCAGCCCCGTGCGATGCCTCCCTGGGCACAGGAAGTGCGGGTGCTTAGAGCCCGAGCCTCAGAGCCTCAATAACTAGGTTGGATTTTGGGACATTTTTTTATTTTCCTTATTTTGGGTTTATAAGGGACCCTATATGTAAATAATCTTTCAGGGTGTTTAAAGGCCAACCCAGATAATACTCTTTTGGGGGCTCCTTATTAATATTGTAAGTATGGTATATATAATGGTTCCTATGAGTAGTATGAGTATCGTATAATATGGAAAGCCCAACTTCTTGTTGGACGGACGGGGTGTTTCAGAATAATGGGCTTGGTATGTTTTCGTTATTTTTGTTTTGTGTGTGTTTGTGTTGGTAAAGTTGTGTTTCAGAAGTATAACAGGGTTTGCAAGTTGGTGCTTTAGGGTGGTGGGTAGGGCTTTGGAAGGTCTACGGCCGAGGGTTTAGAGATGCGAAGTGGGAAGTTTCTCAGAGCCCGAGCCTCAGGAAGCCCAACTTCTTGTTGGAAGAGGTGTTTCAGAATGATGGGCTGTGGTATGTGCAATGTTTTCGTTGTTTGCTGTGTTGAGTGTCTGTGTGTTGTGTGTGTGTGTGTGTGTGTGTGCGCGTGTGTGTGTGTGTGTGCGCCTGTGTGTGCGCGTGTGTGTGTGCGCGTGTGGGTGTGCGCGTGTGGGTGTGCGCGTGTGGGTGTGCGCGTGTGGGTGTGCGCGTGTGGGTGTGCGTGTGGGTGTGGGTGTGGGTGTGGGTGTGGGTGTGGGTGTCTGTGTGGGTGTCTGTGTGGGTGTCTGTGTGGGTGTCTGTGTCTGTGTCTGTGTCTGTGTCTGTGTGTCTGTGGGTGTCTGTGGGTGTCTGTGTGTGTCTGTGTGTGTCTGTGTGTGTCTGTGTGTGTCTGTGTGTGTCTGTGTGTGTCTGTGTGTGTCTGTGTGTCTCTGTGCGTCTCTGTGTGTCTCTGTGTGTCTGTGTGTGCCAGTGTGTGTCTTTGTGTGTCTGTGTGTGTCTGTGTGTGTCTGTGTGTGTCTGTGTGTGTCTGTGTGTGACAGTGTGTGTCTGTGTGTGTTTGTGTGTGTCTGTGTGTGTCTGTGTGTGTGTGTGTGTGTGTTTGTGTTTGTGTGTGTCTGTGTGTGTGTGTCTGTGTGTCTGTGTCTGTGTCTGTGTCTGTGTGAAGACTGGACACTGGGGACAGCTGCAACCAAGTATCATGGTCCTCGGAGAACCAATCTTACGTTCACAGTTGTAAAGCTAGGATTACCGTTAGGGTTTAGGCAAAGTTGGGCTCAGCATGGCAAGAGCTGGAGCAAGGTGCAGGACATACCCATCTGTTAGCCTTGAGAACCCCAAAACCAAAAGTCTTTTGATCTGTATTCATTGGGACCATATGCTTCGTAATTGAGCGGTGTTTGGGTATCGTGTACGGCTACGAGGTCGTATGGCCAAAGGCGCATTACACCGGAAAGCCTGCATCAAAGCCTGTGGGCACGCAGTGAGCAGAGTATAGATAGGCTCTAGACGATGAGCTTAGGTCGCAAGGGTCACCGGGCAACTGTTTATGAATTGCCACGATAAGGGCTGCCATAGGATATAGTAGCCCATGAAGGGTGACTGACAGGGTTACCAAAAGAGTTGCCATATGATATAGTAGCCCATGAGACCTTGGGCCTTTGGTAGGGTTCCTTATATGAATCCTACTATGGGGATATAGTCCCCGGATTTCTTACTCAGGTTCCTGCATTAGGGTTACCGAAAGGATCAGCGAAGCGAAGCCCGAAGCTGCGAAGGATCGCGAGGCCCGCTCCCAGACGAGGAGTCGGCAAGAAGTGAGCCAGGAACTCACTACTATAGGGGCCTACATAACTATCTGTACTGTTTTTGGGTTTCCTTTAGGGATCTAAAAAGGATCTATAGGGTTTTGGGATAGGGGCCTAAATAATTGCCTATACTATTTTGGGGTTCCTTAGTATATGTTTAGTATAATGCGCCCCAGAACCCTGTTCTAATCATTAAGGCCCCAATATTACCGGGGTGTCTGGGGCTCTACGGTTTATAGGGTACAGTTTAGAGACTCAGCTTGTGGATTTTAGTGCTTTAGGATTTATGGTTTAGGGGGTATTCGGTTCCAGGGTTCGAGACTTAGCTGAGGCCTCTGGGGCTTTAGGGTTTGCGACGTATCAGGTTTGCAGTTGTTTTTTTTCGGAGTTTCTGATTGGAGGAGTTCGGGGTTTCTTGGGCTTAGGCAGTGAGGGGCTATGAGGCTTAGTCAGCTTGCTTCCTGAATTTCTTGGGTTCCTTGTATACTATATGGGGTCCGTGTTTCGGGTTCTTCATCTTCAACTAGAAGCTTCTAGACTATCATGTCAGCATATGTCCTGAGCATTTATTTGGGATCTGATCTACAGCTAGGATTTCGGCCGCTGCTCGAAGCTAATTAGAGCTTCGAGTTCAGGATTTTCATAGTGAATGCAAGTTACGGCTACATGGGGCGGCGGGCGGGGCTTAGATGGATCAGAGTGTAGGTGTTCGACTGCTTTACCCCGGATCTTTCATCTCGGTGTTCAGGTGTCGGATATTTTAGTGCTTGGGGGATAGATACCCAGACCCCTCAAAGGATTCTGTCGTGCTTCCGTTGAAGGAGGAGTACCGTATATCGTCATGATGGTAACGATGCAGCGTTACTTTAGGTCGTTTCTGTCCTCTTCAAACATGCGATGCCTAGGTTCTACAATATTACTATCGACTGCTTTTCTTGTGTCTAGTATTGCTGATACTGTGTCCTTCCTTGAAGTATCTCAAACATAGCAGTTCGCTTGAGATTGCCGACGGAGGCTTCAGAGAAAACCCCAGTCACGATGGCAAGTTCCTACTGCGATAAACCTCGTAGCAAACTCTGCAGCCCTCCGTACACCCCTACTCCCTAAACTCTTATGCGTACAGCGTAATCCCCAAAGAAAGGGCCCGAAGGCCAAGATTTCGATAAGGATTAAAAGGACCGTATAGTTAGAACAGGGTAGTAAAGCCGAACTCAGTAGCTGAGTGGGCAACCTTTAACCTTGTAGGGCTCATATGAAGTTACAGAGTGTAGATAGCGCTTCTTTTAACTACTTTGAGCGTTACTTTGCGGATACCAGTAGTCCAAACGCCACTCCATACCATACTTCCAGGATTACAATCTTTACTTTGCTTGGGGCGGCTAGGGAGAGTCAGCAACTGGAACACCAGGATCTCGATAGGAAGACCACCACGGTTGCGAGAAACTTCCCAAGCCTTCGTCTTTGCTTACTAGATTTCAAGAAAGCCTCTAAACCTAGCCCTTAAGTCCACCCTCGACAGGCAGAGCGACCTTGACACCTTCGAGAGAGCACGAAAAGACCTCCGGAATGCGAGAGAACAGTAAGGCAGGCTCAGGTAAGTTGGATGAGATAGCACAACCAAGACCTCGGCAAAACTTGAAAGACCTGGGTTAAGCAAGAACCCCCTGAAAGACAAACAGGCTTCGAGAAGCCCGAAAAGGACTTGTGCTGGGAATAAGCCTTGAAAGACACAGGCTCTTGAAGCCTTGCTAAACTTTACAATGTTAAAACAACGACGCAGATCGAGGCTTCGAGAAGCTGCACGTCCGCCGGACGGCCGAGTTGGAGGAAATCCGCGTGGCGCGCGAGGCGAAGAAGCAGCAGGCGGGTGGGTTTGGGGCGGGAGGGGGGTACCTTTATTTTGGGGGATCCTTATAATAAGGATCCTACTATTTAGGGTACTATATTTGGGTCCCGGCGCTTGAGGGCTTCTTCGGGTGTGTAGTATGAGGTTTTGCAGAGTGTTTCGGTTTGGTACATTTGTTGAGGCTACTTGGCTTTAGGGTGGGCGCAGGCAAGCGTCGCGGCGGCCATAGCACCAGAGGGCCTTCAGGACCTAAACACTGAAGTCCGAAATCTTGAAGCTTTCGAATTCCAAACCCTTCCTGCACATCCCTGCTTCAGAACTATAGGAGGTCAGATTTATGCTTTGAGCGGAATTTGTGAATCTGCTGGGTCGCAAAGGACAGTCCCTTTTCCATTTGGAGTTTCAAACCTGCACGCCTAAATTGAGAAGCCAACAGCGGTGCTTGAGAAACGTGATACTATACAATAATTGTGGCTGGTAGTATTGTTATCAATGATTCACTCACATCAATAAATACGATCCGAAGCCCCTCAAGCCCTCAACCCCGGAAACCTAAAAGCGCCCAAGCCCTTTAACACTATACCCTACCTCTAAAGGCCAGCAGAACTTCGAACACGAAGCTCTAAACGTGAAGCCCTCATAGACCCCTACAGCGTCCCTGTGAAATCAGATCAAAAAATAGAAGCTCGTGCAAACCGCAATGTAAAGAACGGCCTACAAAAGCTTGCCAAAGAGTCCAATAACCCCACGATAGAGGAGCGTGCAACCTTCAAACAAAACCCTCTAACACCACAGCCAACCTCATACGGCCATATGGAAAGCTAATAAAATGAAGAAAAGAGGAGCTCCTAGCCCCTAAACCCTAAGCAAAAGCAGATCATAACACATGCTAGTCCTCAAGCTGTAACCTCTGAACCCTAAAACCTCAAGAGAGCAGATCCTAACCCGTACTATAGGGGCCTGAATAAGCGCCAATACTACGTTTTTTGTTTTTGAGGGGGGGGTCCTTGTTACCATTATAGCACAAGGGGACCCAAAACCCCATTCTAATGATTAAGGCCTCTACATGAAACCTTAAATCCTAGACAAAGGAGATCCAGAAGCGCCGACGCGATCGTGAGCAGAAGCAGGAAGTGCGAGCGATGCACAGGTCCGGGGAGAACGGCGGAAAGAGTTTGAGGACTTTCTTGAGGGGTTGAGGGGTTTAGTTTTGTTTTTCTTTTTTTTATAGGGTTTAAGGTTTTGGGTCTAAGGTTTGGGGCTTTGAGGATTAGGGTTTGGGTTTTGTGATTTTTTGGAGGGGTGTGTAGCGGTTTACGGTCATTCCAAGGCTTTGCAAGGGTGTCATATAATATAGGGTTTTGACTTTGTCAGGCATTCAGTGCAGGGGTAGAGAGGGCTATAGGGTTTGGGTGTTTTGGGGGGTTCGCTTAGAACACCAGGGCTTTCGGATTTGCGGCTGAGGGCCCTGAGGCTTCTAGGCGTTGGGGCGATGTAGGATTTTCGTGCGTAAGGCATTAGCCCTTCGGGCCTTCGGATTTGGGCAGGGGAGAAGGTATATACAGTCAGAGGTTGACATACAGTGCCTAGGAAGGACATCCGGGACTGTGGCTGTAGTAAACGTTTACTGGGCTAGCCCTTTTGCATCTCTTTTGTGAATTCAGAGATCCTTAGGCAGGATGTCGCAGGGTTCGTGGTTTGCTAGTATGGAGGTATCACTGTCAGTATGATCATGGGAGGTTTGAGGCCTTTAGGGTTTGATGGGTTAAGGTTAAGGCTTTAGGGCTTACGTCTCGGGGCTGTGGTTCGGAGTTGGAAGGATCCCTTAAAGGCACTGCCACGGGCATTAAAGCTGAGAGAGCCCTTAAGCCCAGAATCGTAGCACGGAGAGCTCCATACCCTCACCTAATCAGGCGATATGCAGAAAAAACTATACTTAGAGATCCTTTATCTTCGTTCCCGTATTCAAGACAGATCGGACTTTCTCCGTTGGTTTGGGGTTTGAGGTTCAGAATCGGGGTCGCTAGACACGTTCAGGCAGCTTTTTTGGTATGTTCTTCGGGGCGCAGACTTTTTCTCAACGGGATCTCTTGCAAACCAGCTTGCTGCTTTCCGTTTAGCTCATAGGCACTCTTGACTTATCGATGGCTTTTCATGCCGCTTATCAAGACCCTGTAATCAGAACTATGCGAAGGTTGAGCATAAACCGGCAAGTGGCTACGCTTGATGCGTGGACAGGACTTTGCTTGTAACAGCCCAATACCCTAAGTCCTATAAATTCTACAAGCGCTGACAGCATTGTTATTGATGTCGGGGTTCTGTAGGCCCTGGGGCATCGTTGTCTACTTGAGCAACGCGGTTTCCATGGGGTTGTAGAGACAGAGTGGTTAAGGGGATCGAAAAAATCTTGGGTCCAAAAGACTGAAGAGTTCAAAACTCTTTGTTTGCTGATCTTATCATTTCCGGAAGCTGACGAGCACTGGAATCCGACCCTGGGGTTCTCATAACCACCAACAGTGCCTTATGAGGGCGTCCTTGGAGACGCTCAAAGGCCAAAGGAACGCAATGGCAGCGTTTGCTCCGAGGAAGCAGGTGGAGCACGCTGAGCACGACGTGTTGGTGTTTCTTCATGCAGCCAGCAGTCGGTACGATGCTACTTTTTGGCCTGCCCAAAGCAGTAGTAGTGCGACAATCGCACGAGAAATGGCAAGACTGATTCAGCCGCGCTTTGGGTGTCAACTGCTTTGATGACGCCGGGCTGTCGCATGAATTTTTGGCGAACGCAGCTCCTGATCAGAAGACTTTCGCAGAAAACATCGGGTGCTGCAAGGGTCTCTTTCTAATGAGGGCCGTGTAAGGCGAGAATCAAGGTCCAACCGGCCAATACCGATCAGACCACAGCGAAACCACGACGCTAACAACGAAGACCCAGGCGGGACCACAAGCAAAATATCACCGGCAAGGCCGCCAATCCACCATTGACCGAACCACTCACCGACGGCAGTACCGACAACAGCAGCAACTGACCAGTGACAAGACCAACTGATCGGCAACAAGTAGGAGTGCATAAGGCGGGTCTGACATAGCCCTTAACCCGAAACAGGCGGGTTTCACATAGCCCGTAATGTAGCCAACACCTGCCACAATCCTGTTCCAGCTACAAGTACCCCCTAAAACCAATAAAACCCTGAGCCCCACAGCGCTGGCAGGGCCGGTGAGGTCGGCACGAAGGAGTACGAGGAGAGGATCCTGAGAGGTGGTAGTGAGGCTGTTTGTCAGGTTTCTTTCTGGACCAAAGGCTCAGGGTGTAGGATGCTTTTTTAGGTGTTTTCTGGCTAGCTTTTTCAAGGGTTACCACACGAGTTTCCGGGTTCGGAGTTTAGTAGGATCATGACCCCGACTGCTGGTGTTTTCTTCTGTCGCTGGTGGATGGCTGTGCGTTTGCGTGTGATCGCAGACGTTTCGTGTATGGCGTGTCCGTGTTGGCGTTTAAGAGAGTACAGCATAGTCGCATGCAGCACATTGCACAACATGTTACTGAGGAGGAGGATGAAGGATATCATGGGATAGGTATAGGCAAGATGTTGTCTGGTGCGAGGAACGGCTCAAAGAGGTGCAAGCACACCGGCAGCGAGAGAAGAAGGCAAGTACGTGGCTTCTAGATGTCGAGTCTTTGGAGGTTAAGGTTTACCTAACCCGACAGTAGAGCAAGCCCTAGCATGGTCTTTCTGGATAGTGTAGTATTCCCGAAAGGTTAACACCTGATTCTTGTCGCGACAGTTTTCAAGGAAGCTTCAGGTGTGGCATGATAGCTCGGCGTGCACTGCTGAGCTTGGAGTTTGGTGAGGATTTTTGGGGTTTAAGGTTTCGGTTCCGGGCAGAGGATTCGAGGTCCAGATTACGGGGTCTAAGTCGGGCGGGTGATGTGTCTTGGGGTAAAGGGCGCAGGTTGTGCGTTTAAGGGGTACAGGGCTTAGAGTGAGTCTAAGCCCAAAGACTCCACATTCCTGCACATAACTAAGCAATCTTCCCTAAGCTCCAGCAGGTTTACTTGCGAAGGGCCCCGTAGTCATGACTAATTGGGATTCTTTAAGCTGCAACTTGAAATGCTTCGCGGGTTGATTGATTTATGGCTTGGGGCTTGGCTTTCTGCGGACACTGGAGAAGCGCTTCCAGATCCAATCCTTGCTTATAGTTAGGGCTTCAGGGGTTTAGGGTTTAGGGTAATAATTATCAGTAAGATAGAGGCCTATAAATGGGGTTCCTTATGATAGTTATAGTTAGGGGTTTAGGGTTTAGGGTAATATAGAAGCCTAAAAAAAGTGGGGGGAAGTACTGGGCTTTGGAGTACCATACTTTAATACTTTTTTTCCTTAAAGGAACCATTATGAAATAGAAGTTTCGACTTTTTCCTCCCTGGTTACTTAAAAGCCCAGAGTAAAATAGAGGCCTAAATGGAGGTTCCTTATGATAGTTATAATAGCTAGGGGTTTAGGGTAATATAGAGGCCTAAATTATTCAAACTTAGTTGCTGGGTGGATACACTTTACACTGTTTGGGATAACATTGCCCGCTATAAAACTGAAAGTGTACACTTTTGGACTATTTTTTTGGGGGGGGTTCCTTATTATAGATGTTTACGATAATGTACCCCAAAGGCCTATTCTACTTATTAAGGCCCCTAGATGAGTTATGCACAGTCTTTAGGGTTTTGCATTCACCGGGGTGTTCATCTCTTCTAGGGGGGGTGGGTGCGTGGCTTTTGGAAGGGGTTAGTTTGGGGTTAGAGGTGGTTTAACCTGGTCGCTGAGAGTGGGGATTAGAGATAGACAGATAAACAGACCGCGAAGATTCCGTTGTAGAACTCTTGTATAGGACTGATACTGCTGATGGACAAAATCCTGCATGAGCTTAAGGACCCTAAATTATGGGAATTATGGTATATTCCTTATAATGGGTAATACAGGATTTTGTCCATCAGCGGTACGGAACACTTGTAGCAGAACTCTGAAAAGTTCAGAGTGTACCATGTCCTGAGTTTACTTAGTTGTCCAGCAGGTACGCCAAAACAGCACCCACACCCTAGACACTTCGGCGTCAGGTCTTACAAGGAAGCTTGGCAGAAGTGTTTGCAGCCTGCTAAACCTGTGCACTATCACGCGCACACCTATGCCTGTACCCTATACTCAGCCCGTAAAGCACTTCATTGACGTGGGTTCGCGCCACGTTTCCATCCAAGCATTCTTTACGTGGGACACTAGTGAAAGCAAGCATCAAAGAAGGGTCGGAGTGCCCGGCAATGCCCAACATAACTTTCAATAGATTGAATCCCTTTTCAGTTCCCGACCCTTGATGGTACAAGGGTGAGGGATCCGATATTGCCGGTGCGCAAGATGTCGATTGACGTGGAAGTGGGACTGATCAGTGGGCGGAAAGCCATTGTGCAAGCAACCTTGGATGAGACGGCGGGAACATTGAAACGACGGGCACAGGTTGCACTCGGGGTGGGGACAGGGCGGCTCCTGGACTCATCTGGAAGCGTCGTGCAAGGATCTGTGCCGATCAAGAAAGCCAGGGTGCAGAATGGTGACTCCCTGACCTTGTTGTGCACTAGCAGGGTTCAAATTCAAGCCACTGCTGGCGCATTTGCTGCCATTCTTGGCGATGGATCGGTTGTGACCTGGGGTGATGCTGGCTATGGTGGCGACTGCAGCGCTGTGCAGGCTCAGCTGAAGAATGTGCAGCAGATCCAAGCCTCTTATGCTGCTTTTGCTGCCATTATTGACGATGGATCCGTTGTGACCTGGGGTGATGCTGGCTATGGTGGCGACTGCAGCGCTGTGCCGGCTCAGCTGAAGAATGTGCAGCAGATCCAAGCCTCTTATGCTGCTTTTGCTGCCATTATTGACGATGGATCCGTTGTGACCTGGGGTGGTTGTAGCGACGGTGCTGACAGCAGTGCTGTGCAGACTCAGCTCAAGAATGTGCAGGAGATTCAAGCCTCTGATTCTGCTTTCGCTGCCATTCTTGACGCTGGATCTGTCGTGACATGGGGTGATGCTAAGTTCGGTGGCGACTGCAGCACTGTGCAGACTCAGCTAAAGAACGTGCAGCAAATTCAATCCTCTCTGTCTGCTTTTGCTGCCATTCTTGGCAATAGATCCGTGGTTACTTGGGGATATGCTGTCTGTGGCGGTGACAGCAGTGCTGTGCAGGCTCAGCTGACGAATGTGCAGCAGCTGCAAGCCTCTGACGGTGCTTTTGCTGCCATTCTTGGTGATGCATCGGTTGTGACTTGGGGTCATGCTGACTTTGGTGCTGACAGCAGCGATGTGCAGGATCAGCTGCAGAATGTGCAGCAGATACAAGCCTCTGAGCGTGCATTTGCTGCCATTCTTGACGATGGATCCGTCGTTGCCTGGGGTGATGCTGACAATGGCGGTGATAGCAGTGCTGTGCGGGCTCAGCTGAAGAATGTCCAGCAGATCCAAGCCTCTCAGGCCGCTTTTGCTGCCATTCTTGACGATCGATCCGTCGTTACTTGGGGTGATCCTGACAACGGTGCTGACAGCATTGCGGTGCAGGCTCAGCTGAAGAATGTGCAGCAGATCCAAGCCTCTTATGGCGCTTTTGCTGCTATTCTGGACAATGGATCGGTCGTCACCTGGGGTGATGCTGAGTGCGGTGGCGACAGCAGCGCTGTGCAGACTCAGCTCAAGAATGTGCAGCAGATTTACGCCTCTGATTCTGCTTTCGCTGCTATTCTGGAGGACGGATCTGTCGTGACCTGGGGTGCTGCTGACTCTGGTGCAGCCAGTATTTCTGTACAGGACCAGCTCAGACAGACGCAGCAACTTTTCTCGCAGCAGCGCGCAGGATTTAACACAAGCACGTGAAAGACCAGGCGGCAACATGTGCAAAATCCCACGAACCTAACATCCCACTGACTTGAAGAGACATGAGTTTCGTCTACCGTGCGCGAGCGATTGAACCCAAGGACAAAAAATCGAAGAAAAATCCAAATCAGGCTGGACTAAGAGTTCGTGATGCATGACGGGCTAAACTCAACCTAAATCGTGAGCCCTTAAGCTTAGCCCCACATTTGATCTGTCCAAGTCATTGAGACTCTTCAGTGAGACAGCCATGCAGTCCCAGCGCGGAACTGGCACTTTTCATGTGCAAGGGAGTTCGTCACACATTGCTTGTGGCGTGATTATAGGGTGTTGAGCTTGGGGGATTCGTGGAGAAGTGGCATACGAATGGGCCAATCAGGCTTACAACAGCACGTGGAAGTCAACGAGCTCAGTTTAGCGTTTTAGACTTTCTTCAAAACGAAGGAGAGTAGTATTGTAATAGCTATACGAAGCTGGCGACGGTATGTATAGATAGATACAATGTATATCTATATATATATATATATATATACATATCTATCTATCTATATATATATATATACATATATACACATACACACACATATATATATATACACACACATTCACATATATATATATATATATATATTCATATATATATTCATATATATATATATATACATATATATATATATATACATATATATATGTACATATATTTATATCGATATATTATGTGTGTATATATATATATATATATATATTATCGGCAAATGTTTCTCCTGAAGACAAGGACTTCTAAGCCTCAAGCCCCACGCTCCCCATCGCGAGGTCTATGAGAAACAGCAGAGCGAAGAGGAGGCCAGACTGAGCCATGTATGATGTTCGTATGATTTCGTGGTTTAGGGTGCGCACTGCTGCCCTTAGACCCGTTGTCTTTTGAGTTTATCGGTTAACACAGAATAGTATGCAAAAGGGTACCCTTTTTTGGGGGTGTTACAGGGGAACGCCCTTTGACAGACCCAAGAAACGTCTGAAACATCCGAACACAACCCTAATCTCTGAACCCGAATGTCGGGGGCCTTGATATGTAGCAATATACTCGCTCCCAGCCAAGGATATCTCAAATCATGCAATGCTTAACAGGAAAAGAAGTGCCGATGGGTGAATGCCACGCGTTTTGGGTGTCCCACATGTCTGTCGGGCTTTCGATAAGAACCTGATAACAGATTATAACCTCTAACAAAGAGCATGGTTCAAGACCCTAAGCCCTTGAACCTGCAGGCCCTAAACAGGATTCCCTAACCACTCAAACCTAAGACCCCAGCCCCCATGCGAGGATCTACGAAGCAGACCCTTTCCAACACTTCAAAAATCCTTTAGTGTACCGTCCCAACTTTGAGATTTCACTTTGCGGATCCTTCCAACCTAGCAGTCATGCGAATTATTCCAGGGTGCGGCAATTTGGTCGCTTTGTTCTTTGGAGGGTGTCATGGGCCTAAACAGAGCCAGCTCGGTAGCCGACAATACTGTTCGACCGAAACTGCGCTTTTTCAAGGGCCTATACATGACGGAGACAGGCCCTACATAGAGCCCAAGACCTTTATTCCAAAGCCCGAAAGCCCTGCAACTCCCTGGTTTGTAGACCCCTAGAGCCAAACTCTCAAGCCATATCAAAGCCCGCGACTCTTCTACCCGATGCTGAACTTGCAGAGACTCTGCACCCCTCTCTCTAGAGCCTTAAACTCCAACTGTGCTTCCCCGGCAGGCAGAGCGCCGACGCGTGCTGCAAGCGGGCGAGAAGGAGTTCCAGATACAAGAGGCCCTGTGTTTCTACTGTAAGCGAGCTCTTATAGGGTCCTTGAAGAGGGTCTTTGTTAGACAGGCTCTGCAGAGGGTTTCGCGTGTTGGCATGTGGGGTTTTGAGGTTCCGGGCTGGCTGGAGCAGGACACGGCGGCCAAAAAGCTTGACAAGCGAGCAAGACCCGCAAAGACACCACTGCCGGGACGCTCACTCACTCATTCACCGGATTGAACAACAAACAACAAATTCTGGTCTCCTGATCGGTGTTTTGATTTTGCTTGGCGACTGCCGGAAATGGTGTTCCGCTTCCCGGACGGTTGCGGTCGGACGGCCAAGTTTTTTTGAGTGCAGATAGGGAGCAACAAGTGGAAACAACAGCAACAAAAACGTCCTCAACCGCGTGCAATAATTCCCACACATGCAGTCTCTAATGTTGCGAGAGCAGGGTGCAGAGGCGGGAGGTGAACAGCCCAACCTCTAAACTATACCCATACCCTAACCGAAATCCTTATAAACCTTAACACCGAAACTCTACCTAAACTTGAAACCTAAACTAAACTGTATAGAGTTTAGGTGTACGACCCAACGGTCTGGATCAGAATTCAGGGCACTGCCCTCGTTAAGATCCCAATTGCATCATGGCTTAGAGCTCTATAAACTTCAAGCGCAGTCATTCTATAACTCCCACGTCTCTGAGCCTTAGCCAACAGCACGGACCACGGCTTAGGGCCCAGTCTAGGAGCCGACAGACTAAACCAAGATGTCGCTGAGACCGTTTCAGAAGCAGTGAGGGTTTAGGGTTTAGGGGTTTAGGGTTTAGGGAGTGAAGCGTCGTGGTAAAAGACTGAATCTGCGAAGTCCCTCCACCAGGCGCCCAATGCTCTCAGGAGTCCGAAACCCGAAACAGCTCGCCAACATATTCAGATTTCAGTTTTCGTCCAACAAGTTACATCCGATCGAACGCTTTGTCAAAGCCCTTGTATAGATGAAGCGCAAAGACCCCCAGCCCCGAATTACACCCTAAACCCCTTCAATCACCCCCTGCACCTCACAGCCCAACATAAGAAGTGTGGAATGCCTTGACTTCAATATGTAACCCTGCAAAAACCCGAAACCCCTTAAACCCCACAACCACCAACCCCAAAAGCCCCTAAATCCGAGACCGAAACCTTAAGCCCTAAGCCCTATAAACTCTAAGCCTTATACCCTAAACCCTACAAACCCTTGCTTCGCCCCCGGAGGCCCGGTACCGCCAGGAGCGCGTGCGGGAGCTCCAGCGCCAGAAGCTGATCCTCGCCGCGCCGGCTGCTTTTTCTTCAGAGTTAAGGTCTATATCGGATTTACGACATCTCGGCCATCCCTGCCGCAGCAAACCGCCCCTTGCTATGGACCCGTTCATGAAATTCTTAGGCTGCATAGCCAGTGACGATGAGGATCAATTCGTGAGATCGTCTCCTAAGCGCCGGTGTGAAAGTCTCAGTCTCCTGCGGAAACGGTGCTCACGAATCAAGTCTGTTGGAAGCCTCATTGTGGTCTTCACTTCCGGAGTAACAGCTGACGAGGCGGTGTAAGGGTTCAGGATTACTCACCACCAACACTGACAGACAATCTCCTGCAGTGTACCATAGCTCGTGGTACTTCAAGCACTGCAGGACTTTCCGACCCAACGGAGGATCTATAGCGTGAAACCTCCATTCGGTTGTGTGCTGCTTAGTTTGTCAGAAGCTACTTGAAGGAGTTCAGGTGTAGATCCCGAGCATGCCAGATTTGTCCATCGGCAGAAGTGTTGGCCTGCCGTCCACCAGACCTCCAGCGCCGCCCTGACACCCCAAACCCTGCAAACAAAGCCTTCAAGCATTGAGCAGAGGAGCCTAGGCAGTAATATGGGTAGTTGTCAAAATTAGGGTCCCTTTTTGGGTACCCTATATAATAGGTGCCGCACTGTAATAAGGACCCAAAAAGGCACCCTAATTTTGACAACCACCCATATAAATTGGGCTACAAGTAACAGGATCAGGTTAAAGGGCCCCGGACCTCCACGTAGTGGTTGAGGTTCGAAGAGCTTTTGGGATAGGATGTCTCTATGTATGGTACTGGCAACCCAATAAACCTTTCTTAGTCCTGAAGTGGCGAATCTTCCGTAAAACCTGTGTGCAGCCACCTGGGGCCCTAACGCACCCGACAAGGAACAATTTCAACGCCCTCTGCCCCCACCCTCTCACCAAAACGCACGACCCCCTAACCAAAGCGTAGAAGCAAAAGCAGAGACTACCCCGCAACAAAAGCCCCAAACCCTAAACCATGAACAAGAAACAGCCGGGCAAAATCCGGCCAGGAACAAGGAATCAAAGAGAGAGAGGCCGGTGGCCCTCCGATGGCCGAGACCGCGTGTTACTACTAACACTGGCTCTGGGCTCCTTTATATCACAATACTATAATCGACGTCAGGTAAATTTACAGAATTTGGGCCCGCTATATCGGGATTCATGCTGTTCTACAGGGGCAGCATCAGGCCTTTCCATAATGATTCAAGGCAGTCAGCGCTCCATTACAGATCCCCAAAATGAAGAATAAGGTTCCTGAAGGCTTCCTCTCAGGTCTACATATAAAGGGCTCCTTAAATGGCGTTTAATACTTAATGCGGTTCCCCAGTACGATGTTGCAATGTTATCCGGCGCAAAACGGGTTACAAGGGTGACCACTGATTAAGCGAAAGGGTGCTAATTCCTCAACCCAGAGACATACCCCACGCCAGAGGCCCAGGCCATCTTCTCTTTGGGTCCCCAACGCAGCCCTACACCAGGGATGTCCTGGCTTGTCAAGGGGTACCTAGTGAAGCCTGTCGCTTTTCGTCGTTACGTAGTACAACAATCGCTCTAATCTATAAGCCTTGAAAACCTACAACCCAAACCATTCAAGCACTGAAACCCCTCAAAGAGTCTGTCACATAGTGGTTCAGGGTTTTTTCGACTTTCAGGTTTCAGGGCCAAGAGCTCGCTCACCAACTTGCCCTGTACTTGTTTTTTCGGTGCGTCTGTCGTGTTGTAGTACATGTGTCTTATACATCCTGCAAGCACGTCTGGTCCATAGTTAGAGGATCAGGGGACATAGTATGTACGGTTATTGCAAGCGCGGTAGCTACAGATGTAATTATGCGATGACTTATAGCCACGATAAAGGTACTTACAGCCCTGCTTGTTAAGTTTCCTGATACCGAGATAATCCCGAAACCCCACAGTGTAGCCGGCATGTTCACTTACACAACATCTGTGTTGTATAAACTCCTGCTTGACTAACTCCCCTGCTCCTTGCACCACAGGCAGAGGCCGTGCGCGACGCCCGAGAGTCGGCCAAAGAAGAGCTGCGCCGGAGGCACGGCTTCGGCTCTGGGGTTCCTTTGAAGGAGGCCCAGGGACTCCAATATCCCTTAATTAAGAAAAATTCCTTAAATTATAGTAGGATCCCTAATATGATTTAAGGAACATTCCTTACTTGAGGGATATTGGAGTTTCTTGGGGTTCTCTCGTTCAAAGGTGCTTATGGGGTTGTTTGGGGCTTTCCTAGACTTTTGATATGGTTTATGGTTTAGGGGTTTCGGACTTGGGTACTTTCGGGACTGTACAGAGGGTTACGGCTGGGGGACTTCGCATATAATTCTAGGTAACAAGAAGAAATTGAAATGCCGCATCCTGGTTTGGTAATCCTACTTAAAGCCCTACCTCCAAGTAGACAACCCAGTACTACCCTTGCTTACTTTTGCTGTAGTGACGTTTGAACCGTTTGCTAGTGTAGAGAGTTTCGGGGTCAGGATTCAGGACTTCGGTGTTAGCCGAGGCTTGCAGGTTTTACAAGAGTTGAAGTTTCTGATATGTTTTAAGGCTTGAGATATACAGCCGAAACCCGAAAACTTTATCGGAAAAGGACCCTTGAGTGTAAAGATGAAGACCAAAGCCTTCGCATACTGGTACACCGCAAAGCCAAGCAAAACCCATAAACCCCTCAGAATACACCTCAGGTTCTCGTTGTACCCTTCGCCAAAAAAAAGGCAACAACACCCCCGTCATCAAAATCCTGAATAACCTCTCAAACTCCATAATCCCGACAGCCCCATGGAGTCCCTCCACTACATCCCCCGTCTCATCGTTATGGCCACTACAAAGGTAAAACCCGAAGCAACTTAGACCGCCAAAATCTTGACAGCCCGAGGGACTAAACCACCCGAAGCCCGCTTCTGGACCCACCGAAAACCCTACACAAAAAGAATTGAACCTCAAAACCACAAGCTCTAAACCCTGTATAAGCCCTAAACCCCAAAGCCAAAAGCCTTAAACCCCAAGCCCTATAAGCCTTTTAAACCCAAAACCAACAAACAATAACACAAGTGCCCTAATATAGGAGCCTCAATAATTGGAAGTAGGTTTACGAGCCCATTATGCCATATTTTTAATAAGGAGCCCCCAAAATAGTGTTCTTCTAGTAGGCTCAGCCTAAACTCCAGAACCAAAAGCCTTAAACTCCAAAGTCAGAGCCCTAAACCCTAAAACCCTAAGCCAGAGGCGCATCTTAGACCTGGAGCAGAAGCGAGCAAAGGCCCGTGAACGAAAAAAAGGTCAAGCACGCGTTATACCTATAGTCTCCATTGTAGTTCCTTTTTTTGGTTTAACCAATCTTATATTAAGGATCCTAACAGGTAACCCCCAAAAAGGAACTACAACGGAGGCTTTATAGGGTTTTGGGGGCCTAGGGAGGTTTTTGGGTTTAGGGTTTATTTGGGTTCAGGGTTTTTGGGTTTAGGGTTTGTGGGTTTAGGGTTTGTGGATTCAGGGAGTTTTGGGGTTTAGGGTTTTTGGGTTTAGGGTTTTTTTGGGTTCAGGGCTTTTGGCTTTAGGGTTTGTGGGTTTAGGGTTTGTGGGTTTAGGGAGGTTTTAGGCTTTTAGGGTTTTAGGGGTCAGGGTTTAGGGTTCAGGGTCAAGAAGCACATCAGGTCTCTCATGGTTGTTTTTGTTCTTGTGTGCGTGAGAGTGCTTTTAAAGAAGCTGGTTCAAGCATGTCTAAGGTCGCGTGAATGCTCTGCCAACCTGCCTCCCACCCTGACATCCACAAGGGAGGATGCAGTGGAGGGGGACATCGCACCGGGGCTACCGGCTCTTAAGGGCTATACAGCTTGGCTTCAGCACCCCACTCGGCCTGCCATCTGCCAGGAGGCTCGGTGTTTTTCACAAGCTGTCCATCCCTTCCGAGAGGCGAGCAACGCATGCTGTAGCCTTGCAGTGCGCTCTGTTACTGTTCCACCCTGTCCCCGGCAGTGGGCCGGCTACGCAAACTCCACTCAGAGAGTCACCTCTCACCATGGCGTTAGTCAAGGCTTCCGGCATCTCATCCTATGCAAAGCACCAAGGACACCTACGTGCTTGAAGACGACTTCTGCTTCTCGGCTACCTCACCTTCCTCCGCCAGGGCGGCTTTCCGTTGCAACCAATGCCCCACTCCTCCTGGATGATGGTGCCGTCTATGGTTTACTCGCCATTGCAGCCCCCCTCCATCGACTAAGTCCATAGCGGCTGCATTGTAGTTGTGGTGCCTTGCTGGTCTGACACAGTCCTTTAGGCAGTAGGATGCACCCTGATTCGGCGTAGTAGCAGAGACGCATGATCTGTTTCGCACGCACATTCGTGCATGGGCCATTGGGCGGTTATAACCTCTAAAGAAGCTGGTTCAAGCATGTCTATAAGGTCGCGTGAATGTTCTGAAAAGACCTGCCTCCCTCCCTGACATCCACAAGGGAGGATGCAGTGTAGGGCGACAACGCACCGGGGCTACCGCTCTTAAGGGCTACAGCTTGGCTTCAGCAGTTCTTGTTGAGGAGTGGGGAAGAACTAAAGTGTCGGGTTCAGGAACCTAGCTGTTGGGTGGTTTAGCCTATGTTTAAGGCTGAGGAAGTTCAAGGATAAGGTATAATCCAATACGAGATGTTTTGCTGAGTCTGTAGGAGGTACTAGGGAACGTGCCAATAAGACTCTGGAAGGACAGGGCTTCATGAGCCGTCTACATGGTATGCATTGGGTTTAGTTATCGGATGTTTTGAGAGCGTCGCAGGTTTGGGGCGGGTGTCAGAACAGTTCGTGGGATCCAGGGGTTTGGGTTCGTTGTTTCAGGGTTGGGGGTTTGAGTTTTGCAAGGGTTACAGTAAGCTTATGGGGTTTCGGCTGTTGCTCATGAAGTTTTGGGGCACTAGGGGCCGTAGAGTATCTTAGGTCTTAGGGTGTAGAATTAAGCCTTGGGGTTGGGGGATGCTTGAACTTCGCAGAACTTCCGCATTGGATCCCCTTCCGGTTTCAGTGGGTTTTTGAAGGACGGTGCCCGTTGCCTGCGAGAGCCGTAGAAATATACGGTTATACGATGGTAATTCCGATTGTTTCTTCCTGAAGTACCATGTCCCAGCAGCCTCCGCACCCATTGCAAACATCACCCTGCGGCTAGAGACTCGAGCAGCTCATCCTTTCTCGCGGACCATACATCCTCAGCACAATTGGATAGGGTCACTTATTGTCTGAGCCTTCCTACTTAGATCAGGGTTGTGGACATGTTGTAGTAGGACTCCATGGGGGGATATATAGTTGCTGGGTATGCGCCTCTACATAGAACAAAACTCTCGTAATCTCCTCAATCCTAAGCCAATATCCCTAGTACGTACCCTTTGAATCGCATCCACCAGGTTCTCGCAGTAAAAGCCGACCAAGAGGAGCGTAAGAAGCGGCGGGAAGAGGAGCCGTTACGCGGGGCGTCAGGCAGCAGGGCTACTGCTTCGAGAACAAGGAGTCTACTGATTATTATACAAGTCCATGTTAGGATCCCGTATGGTTCAAAACTCCCATATTATGAAGGTTGTCGACTGACAGCTCCCTTGTTGAGGAGCCTGTATAATCAGATATAATCAGATTTCCACTACTTGAGCTTGCGGTCCCGTGCTTTCTGACAACTCTCATGTGACAGGTCTGTGCTCGTGAAGCACGCAGCATAGAAGGCTCGGAGTGCCCAAAACGACGCACTGCCAACCCAAAACTTTAAAAACTTTAGGGAACTTTAGGTTGAACCCCTTGTTCTTCAATTCCCGAACCTTGACAGTAAAAAACTGAGGGGTTGGATATCGCCAGTGTGCAACATGTCGATTGAAGTGGAAGTTGGACTGATCAGTGGCAAGAAAGCCACTGTGCAAGCAGCCTCGGATGAGACGGTGGCAACATTGAAACGACGGGCACAGGTTGCACTCGGGGTCGGGTCAGGGCGGCTCCTGGATTCATCTGGAGGCGTTTTGCAAGGAACTTTGCCGATAAGGAAAGCCAGGGTGCAGAATGGCGACTCCCTGACCTTGTTGCGCAACAAGGTTCAAGTTCAAGCCAGTTGGCATGCTTTTGCTGCCATTCTCGACGATGGATCCGTCGTGACCTGGGGTGATGTTGAGTACGGTGCCGACAGCAGCGCTGTGCAGACTCAGTTGAGGAATGTGCAGCAGGTCCAAGCCTCGCACGGTGCTTTTGCTGCCATTCTGGACGATGGATCCGTCGTGACCTGGGGTGATGCTAAGTACGGTGGTGACAGCAGGGCTGTGCAGACTCAGCTGAAGAATGTGCAGCAGGTCCAAGCCTCGGACCGTGCTTTTGCTGCCATTCTGGACGATGGATCCGTTGTGACCTGGGGTGATGCTGGGTTCGGTGCCGACAGCAGGGCTGTGCAGACACAGCTGAAGAATGTACAACAGATTCAAGCCTGTAATTCGGCTTTTGCTGCCATTCTCGACGATGGATCCGTCGTGACCTGGGGTAATGCTGAGCTCGGTGGCGACAGCAGCGCTGTGCAGGGTCAGCTGAAGCATGTGCAGCATATCCAAATCTGTCTGGTGGCTTTTGCTGCCATTCTGGACGATGGATCCGTCGTGACCTGGGGTGATGTTGAGTACGGTGCCGACAGCAGCGCTGTGCAGACTCAGCTGAAGAATGTGCAGCAGGTCCAAGCCTCGGACCGTGCTTTTGCTGCCATTCTGGACGATGGATCCGTTGTGACCTGGGGTGATGCTAAGTACGGTGCCGACAGCAGCGCTGTGCAGACTCAGCTGAGGAATGTGCAGCAGGTCCAAGCCTCGGACCGCGCTTTTGCTGCCATTCTGGACGATGGATCCGTCGTGACCTGGGGTGATGCTGAGTACGGTGGTGACAGCAGGGCTGTGCAGACTCAGTTGAAGAATGTGCAGCAGGTCCATGCCAGTTGGCAGGCTTTTGCTGCCATTCTCGACGATGGATCGGTCGTGACCTGGGGTGATGTTGAGTCCGGTGCCGACAGCAGCGCTGTGCAGACTCAGCTGAAGAATGTACAACAGATTCAAGCCTGTGGTTCTGCTTTTGCTGCCATTCTCGACGATGGATCCGTCGTGACCTGGGGTGATGCTGATTGCGGTGCCGACAGCAGCGCTGTGCAGACTCAGCTGAAGAATGTGCAGCAGATCCGTGCCACGCATTACGGGGCTTTTGCTGCCATTCTCGACGATGGATCCGTTGTGACCTGGGGTGATGCTGAGTATGGTGGTGACAGTACTTCTGTTCAGGACCGGCTACGGAAGTGATAGCATCTCTCCCATCAGTGCGCGCAGCCGCACACAAGTTTTGTACACTCACATCGAAGACGCGGCCTCCACTGCGAGAACTCAATCAGGAAAGATGGCACAAACTGAAGAGACACTGCTTGGCTTACCATGCCCGCATGATAAATCTCCAACAGAGCCCTTCCCATGCTGCCTGGACCCGAAACACGACAGTTCCTGACAAAGTGTTTGAACCCCTGGGATTAGGATTTCGGGTGTTAGTAGCGGGTTTTTTGGTTTAGAGAGTCAGATCCTGAAACCAGCGCCCCGTCAACCCAAAACAGGAAAAGAACAGCATAGCCGTGACTCAGCAGAGCCCTCTTTACACTCAAACTCCTCCACCCAAACAGTGGCCCGCACATGTTGAGCTTCACAACCCTAGACCTTAAACCTACGGGTCCAAGTACGTTATGATCATAGACTCCTCCAAATACTAACTTGCGCTACTAGAGAAATGTCGAACCCAGAATCATAATCCTTCTTCACCAGTGGCCATAGCAGTAAGACCCTTCTTCAAGCACCTTTTTCAGGGTGGAAGGTTACTATAGGGGGCCGAAAGAACCACCAATGCTATTTTGGTGAATCTTTATTGTAACTACAGTATAATATATAATATACCCCCCAAACCCTATTCTAATTATGAAGGCCCCTATATTAGTGTTCTGTTCAGGTCTTGAGATCCGGTCTACAGGGTCCTACAGAATTACCAATGGTATTGTGGAGGTTCCTTATTATAGTTATGGTACAGTGGGCCCCAAAACCCTATTCTAATTATTGAGGCTCCTACATTGTCAGGTTGAGGGTTTGGGCTTTAAGGGTTTGGGCTTTCAAGCTTCGGTTTAGGGTTGTTCGACAAGGGTTCCCATACTCAGGCCCTGCAAGAAGGGTGGTGTGGATGTCTTTAAAAAAAATGAGATCCTAAGTTTAAGTAGCATAAGTTACCCATTTAAGTAATGCTCCTTTCTTCGCGACTCTGGAGACCCAGAGGCTTTCAGCATTTTGGGGATGTGGGCACCTTTGAGATCTGGGGCCTGTCGGCTTGGCGTTATCAGAATTCATGCAGAGGCTTTGGGGGACTGGCGTGCGTGTCGGAACGACAATCAGGGAACCCTAAATGGGAGATCTCCCCAAGTGTTGCATCCTAAACTCTGTGATGAAGGAGAAGTGCTACATCTACACTCCTGCCCCTCGCCTTAGTGACAAGGTGAAGGCCGCCGCAGTGTGCGAGAATGCTCTGCTAAGTTCTTCTAGGATCTCACTGTAAAGAAAAGCTGAAGACAGTATTCAAGAGGATGCTGGGATTTAAGAGAAGAGAAGTGTGAGTGTGATTGCAGGCGTAGCAGCAGAAGTGGCAGTAGTAACAGCCGTCGTCAACTGCCGTGGCACCGTGGGTTTTTTTTGCGACTAGCACTGTTATCGCTCCTATGAACTGTTCCTACTAACTGTTGCTAATCGTGGTGCAGGGCTGTCAGGGCTGTTGGGTTCTGAAGGTTTCTGACTTGGATTTCGGCGGTCCACGGGGGGTGGAAGGGTCGAGGGTTTTTCTTACCTTTGGCCAGTAGGGAATGGAGGAAAGGGGTACAATTATCACTACTAGTAAAGTCTTCCATTCCCTGCTAACCAAAAGGTAAATTGTGCAAGACCTCACGTGCAAAGAAAGCCATGATAGCTCATTTTCAAGGACGACGGATTGAGCAGTTTACGTTTTCGGAGTTACCCCTGACAACCCAAAGGGCGGAGTGTAACAGAGTGCATAGGGGTTCGTAACAAGAGCCCTCCATAAAACACGAGATCTGCCACTCCCCCAAACCCCAAAGGCCCTAAAAAGGGGGTCTCAATAATTGCCTCTACTATTTTGGGGGGTTCGTGATTACAGCGGGTGAGGGGATCGGGGGAAACTCGACGGTCAGGCTGCCGCTGCGGAAGCAATGGCTCAGTGGGATGTTCGGGGCCCGGAACAGGGTTAGGATTTAGGTGGTTTAGGGGGGGTTTAGGTTCAGGGTTTAGAGGGTTTAGGGGGGCAGTTGGGGCATTGGGCTTGATCATTAGGCGGGTTTGAGTGCGATTGAGCGTATGTAGGCTTTGTGCTTGAGCCCGGGTTTCGGGTTTCCTTGTACTGTCTAGGCTCCTATCCTCGGATAGGCAGTGGAAGTTTGGTACAATAAGCCCCAGGGTCCAAGTACCCAATCATCATATACTCTCCAAAATCCTGACCTACATAACTGCTATCCTAAAAACCGAGGACCTGACAATTGGGTCCTTTGGACCCTTGGGGTAACAATCGCCACATGAAGTAAGGAGTTCCTTAGTAGCACGCCGGCACGGAGACCTGTGTAACACATGGAAGGATCCGCATAAACCCTCACCACAACCGTTGAAGCCCAAATTCCCTAAGATCCGATCCAAGGCCCAATTCACTGCTCAGAGCCTCGCGGCACAGGCAACGAAAGCGTTCGGGTCTGGAGTTTAACTTTCGATTTAGGGGTTCATTTTCGGTGTTTGGGGTTAGGAAGCTTTCTTGGGAAAGAAATTGGTTGGTGGCAGCGTTGGCCGCCGATAGTACCGGGGCGGGGCTGGTTTCGACCTGATCCTTAAGACAATCATACTGGAAGCGTCAGGAGACTTAGTATGTATATGGCTTGAAGTAAAAGGCCTTTGCTTTTGACCGGGCCACAATTGAGATAGTTGTTCCAGTACCTGTAGCTAGTGCCACGAACCTTGACATACGAGCAGCGCTTTGTCGCAGTGGCTCTTGAAATAATGCATGGTTGGAGCTTCCGAAAATAGGGGACCCTAATATAGTACACTAAATAGTAGGATCCTTATTATAAGGACTCCAAAGTAAGGTACCCCGAATTGTCGGAAACTCCCACATGAGCGAACTGTAAGGTCGTTTGGGGGGTAGGTTGTTGAATAGCGAGCAGGTTCGATCCCTGTTAGTTCTCCTTGGCTAGAGGTAGTTCTTTCAAGGACCACCGAAAACCTTCTGCAACTATTCACTCTAGTTTAAATCCCGGGCCTCATGTAGAAATAAACGCCTCAGACAAAACCTTCAGCCGAGTTTGTGGTGTCCTTGGGACCGCCTCTTCCTTTCGCATGGGTTTGTCTCTCCTCTGTTCAGTCCAGTCTACAAGGCTCATGAGTACGACTATGTTGCTTGTTTTGTTGGTTTAGGACATTTTAACAGGCATCCCCCTCCCGAAAAACGTCTCATCTTCTGAGAGGGCAGAGTTACGGACATGGTCATGTTAGCACTCGGCTCGTTGGGATTGGGGCTTTGGGACTGGGTGCGGTGCGGTACACTTTACACACTGTAATAGCACAAGTGCTTGTTATACGTAGTAGTTGCAAGAAACAAGTAGAGAGAGAGAGAGAGAGAGAGAGAGAGAGAGAGAGAGAGAGAGAGAGAGAGCTTGAGCAGGGATACAGTTGCCTGCGCATCCCAACACAAAACGGAACCAACACGGATCCGAAGAAGAGGCTCGAGGCCGGGGGTCATTTTGGATAAAGTACAGGGTCAGTAAAGGGGGGATGCGCCGGAACAGGCCAGAGCCGCGCACCTTCACAGGGGGGTCAATACAGCCTTCAGTGTCCAGCGCGCACTCGTGCGCGAAGTAGGTTGACTGACCTGCTTCTGGCTGCGTGCAAGCAAGAGAGAGAGCGAGAAAGAGCGAGAGAGCGAGAGAGAGCGAGAGAGCGAGAGAGCGAGAGAGAGAATGACAGCAGCAGGCGTCACCGCATCGAAAGGCAACAAATATTAATTGTGCTCTCTCATCTTCGCCATCATCACAAGGATGACCAGAGTGCAAGCTGCAAACTCCCTCAGGCCCAAGCGCAAGCAGCCGCTCTCGAGGGATCGGCGCAGGTCGACAGGGCGATGGGCTTTATCTGGTTTCCAGGGTTTCTTTAGAGACTCCGAAACCCCTTGAAATCATCTTGTGGACCCCTTTACAGCTGAAGGTGTGTTGCCCAGTCACTGGGGTCTCTGGATGAAGTAGGGTCTCGTGTAGCCTTCTCGGGCTGATAGGGTGTTTCGTGTCTTATACGCTCGGCGTGGGTTTTGAAGTGCAAGAGTCAGGGGGGGGAGTGCGTAAAATAGGACAATGAGGTACAAGAGCTGTGCAGCGCTTGATAATGGAACCTTTCAGTTTACGTAGCTCAACCCCTTAGTTACATACTGGTATAGATGTGTTGGAGTCTCTGAGTAAAGGGTTTTGGTAAGCGTTTCAAGCCGCTTGCTGAGGTTTAAAGGTCGCCCCCAGCCCAAATCCCTTGTGCCTGGGCCGGCTTCGGGCTATAGGGCTCAGGGGCCCCAAACCGGCGAAATATGCAATGGACAGCAATCAAACGTTCCTTGCAACCACCCCACACCGGACCACACCCGAGACCTTGGCATCCCACATGCTGCGCGACAACTGTGGATGAGCCAATCTCTGCACTGTTAAGCGCCCGAAACTTCGGGTATTGTGAGATATTCCTCGTCAGGCACACGACCAACGTCAGCCATCAACCGATCTCTGTCATGGGTCCTTGTAGCGTATCTTGAGAAAGCGGCTTATTCGGTGTTTGCACAGACTACATCCTAATTTAAATATAACTTCTCAAACCTTCAGCCTGGAACTCTTAAACCCACGACTTCAAGTGCACGGCCTGGAGTCCGAATTCCAAGAGACCGTTTGGGCACAGCTATAAGCCACGCTTTCAATCCTTCAATCCTTCTGAAGCCCTGCATGGCTGCATGGAACATGCGATCTCTAAGGCCATGAACCATTAAACCCTAAACTGGTTCCTCCTCTCAAGATCCCTTTGTGCGTAAGTGAAATCCCACCGTCCAATTTGTGAGCATCCTTTGGAAAGCTTCTAGAGCCGTTTGAAACTTGAAACACTGTAAGATTTCAGCCTTAAGCTACTAAGCCCCATGAGTCCTTCAAGTCCTTGTAAACCACGCCAGACAGGCCTTTTCTGCAGAGTCAAACTGCTCCAGAAAAGCTAACGGGCGTCAGCACCCAACCAAGCAAGCCCATTAACCACGCAAGCACTTTGCACGCCTTCTCTTTAAATTCCGTCACGTACAGGCTTGCTAATCCCCTCTACCATGCCAACCCCTTATGTTTACAGAACTGTTGTTCCTAAACTTTGGTCCTAAACCTTTGAAATGGCCACAGGATAAGTCCGTTCTTCGAAATCCTTGAGCCCAAACTTTTAAACGTATGTGAAACCACATCAGCCCAACCCCTAAGCAACAACGTGAACAACATGACTTCCAGCAAAAACCTGATAGGTCACCTTCACCCGAAGCTAAACCTTGAAGCTCTGTAACCGGATCCCCCGAAGATCAAGTTACTACTAGCTTTAAGACTATTGCTCTTACTATCGTACAATTACAGTAACAACCATTGATATAACTAGAGTTGCAATCGCAAGTATTGCAATCACTACCAAAGCTACAGTGACGACAGCTACGATTCTTACTACTGTTCCTATGACTTTATTGCTATGACTATGACTACTGCTATTAATATAGTAATTAATAACAACGTATTATTAATTACTATTTACAGCTACTTCTGCTATTTACTATCGAACTTTCTCTTGCGACCCTTTTTTTGGGAGCCCCCGCACCCCGAAGGCCTCCTCGGGTGCGATGCCCGCGGGCTAAGAGCCAGGGGAAACTTCGAGGCCGCAGCTTTTGGCGCTCCCGGGCAGGGGGGGGGGTAGGGTTTATTAGGGTTGAGGGTGATATCATCGGGGTGTGGTATGGCAGGGCTTCATCGGGTGTAAGAGGGTTGCAATAGGCATTCATAGGGTTTAGCTGGGTGGGTTTGATTTTGGTGGTCTGCATACTTAGGAGGTGGAATAACGAGGCCTGAGAACTTCGTGCTCATATCCCATTTAGCTCTCTCTCTAGAAGTTACCAGGAAGGACCTCAAGCCAGCATATTCCCTAGTTATCACGGATCTTCTGTTGGTTTCGGGTTGAGAAATATGTTTTTGTGGTGTACGTGAGGGGTGCTTAGGGCCTGGCGCGGCCATTGTTGCCCTACCGGATTCGCTATGCCATTGACATGTAAACTTAGGGCGGGCCTTTTTTCAGCCTTGATTTTCCAGGAAGCTCCGACTTTCTGCTTCAAACATTGGAATTTGCCTTCATGATGCCAGCACGAAGACAACCGATACAAATACTCTACCAAGGCGGGGTCGACTTTAATCCTGCCGTCAGGGGCCGAAACTCGCAGCGTGGACTCTAAGTATGACTTCTTGCATCTGTTTCCACATGTTGTCTACCGTGCCACTGTGCGGCAGTTGCAAGGCATCTGCTCTTGATGGATGTAGTGCTGACTTTCTTATCAAACAAGTGGTCACCAGACGACAGACACGAAAGTAATTGCTGCACTGAGCCTACGCTGTCCAGGTGGCATCCACATCGTATGCCCGAAGTTGGGAACAACAGGTATGTGAATTTGCTTGTCAGCAGCTCGCACTCCAGACAAAAAGCACATGATGAAAACGCGTGACTGCAAAACAAGCAACATTGATTTAGATAAGGTAAAAGAAGTGCGCAAACATGTTTGCCATCATCCCTTCCCCCACCCTGGCCCCCAACGAGTAAGAAATTGAAGCTTGAGGGTGTGACTTGGGCAGGGGCATAAAGGCATATTTGGGCAGGTCAACTGTGGCCGCGTCTAGCCTTAGGGTCATGGGTGTTTCGGAGGTCTAGGTTTTCAGTACGGCCAGGTGTTGTTGGAAAGGCCTCTAATTAACAGGTTCCACCACGGTGGCTTGATGCATCTATTTCAGGTATCGTAGAACCAGCGTAGTCTCATCTACGCACCAACGCCCTATAGGTAAGAATGAGCTGTAAACTCAAGCGCGGCAGGCGAGGCGAAGGCACTGTACATGGGCTCGGAGCAGTTCTGAGTTTCACAGCGTTGCAGATGCGATCCGCCGGGCAGAATGCCCAACGAGGTATTTGTAGAACTGAAGCGAACGTTTTAAGAATGGAGATGTTCGCATTGAAACTCATAAGGGTCCCAATGACGTTCCAGCCCTCGGAAGTACAGCCGACGCTTAAGTTCCCCAATTATGCGGTTGACCGGCATGTTGCAAGGAATCATGTTGCAGATCTACGGAGCTTATGTCCTTAACAAGATCAGCACTGAGCAAGAAAGAACCGAAAACTCTACCATTCGACCTGCCTGGTGGGCGCAGACTCAAACTCCCATGATCCGTAGATACCCAAGTGGTGCCTCAGGTTTTTCAGGGCTGTGCGAGCATTCCGACGATCACGGGCAGTTGTAAGTAGGTCTCTTCGGATTCTGTACATGTGTACATACAAACATATGCATTGTTATTTGCATGCACATGCACACATCCGTAAATAGACCGATCGATGGATTGATCGGATGGATAGTAAGTAGTCAGATAGACAGCGCAGAGCCTTCATTTCAGAAGCCAGAACCCGAGTCTACCTACCCAGGCTTCTTAAGCTGTTAGGCGTTGGGCGGCACGAAGTTGTTGAGTTTGTAGGTTTGAAAGCCTTTGGCGATGGTACACTCTTTGCATACGCGTTTATGTGTTCACATAGACCACCCTCCAGGAGGTGTCGTGTTTGCAGTTAAGGGTAGTTTGCTGGCCTAGGTTTGGGCAATGCGGACCATGGGGGAAGAGGGGATTCGGACCCTGTGACAGTCTGCCTCCGAGGTTCTGAGCTTACCGCTTGAGGGCGTACAGCCCCATGCGCTCCAAAAAACCTATGTTTGTAGAGTATTCCAGGAGGTATTATTCGGTTGCTTTCCTTGTAGCGTTTAGTGGCAAAGTTTCGGGGTTGAACACAGATCTTCGAGCCTGAAGATGCGCGAGTCCTCAATGTCTCAGAGGGCTTAGTGTTATCGGCGCATGGCTGCTTCGGATGTCTTTGCTGAGGGTCTATCACATACGGCATGTTTAGGACACAGCGATTCAATCATTGCAGGAAGATGTGGACGAAGCACGGACTAAATCCCAAGAGCCTTCAACCGTAGACTCTCAACCCTAGACCGTAGCCTTGCAAGTACCACATGGTTGGGGTGTACTAACGACTTGTTGGGGATCCGGGCTTGTCCTAGGCATCTTCGTATGGAGCCATGGTTCAAAGAAGCCCCACTCCCGCGACAAGGACTACAAGCGACAATGGCAACAAGAATGACAGCAACAATAGCAGTAGGCATATACTACCAGAAATAGTAGTAGGGGTTTTCCAGTCGTGGGTCGACACGCGCTGAGTTTGCATACGGTAAACTGTTTGGGGTCGGAGAGTCTGAGAGGGACTCGGTAGAACTCGGAGCTCAAACTGTTTTTGTCGAAAGGTTTAGATAACACAAGCTTGTGGAAAGACTTACCTTCAGAAGGAGGAAACCCTAAAGACACCCCAGACCCTTAAACCCTCAACTTTGTCGAACCCGAACTGAGTCCAAAAGTTATCAAACGAAGCCCAGCACCTTCGAGCGCTTATGGCTGATCTGGGAGTTTCAGAAAACCAGGGTACCAGAGAAGTTTGATAAGTTCAAAGGGACGTCCTGCATGTAGTCCCTGTATACTTCTCCAATGCCCCATTCAACTTGTCTAGGTCCTTAGGTCGCCCGGTGGTACTCCTCTTCTGGGGTGTCCGTAGTTTCCGTAGTATGCTGAATGATGGGAAGAAGGGTACCCTCATTGTTAAGTGAATGCTGGCGAGGATCTACACGTGTCCCTATGCTCTGAAACTCCCGTGGCAGTGTTGGGCGCAGTGGTTTAGTCGGGACTCCGGTAGGATGATGTAGAAAAGGGTTGCTTTCCAAGAAAAAGAACAAGTTCTCAACCCTACACACCCCCAAGACCTTCAAAGAATATCCCCAAACCTGATGTTGTAATCCCCATAGTCACAAATCTTCAGCACCTCACGTTTAGGGTTCATGGTCTAGCTTAGTGCAACAAATCATTCGTTTCAAAAGGGGCTGCCAGTTAGAGCCAAGATGTATCTTTGTCAAGTCTATGCCTACCTGCTTGGCCTAGGAAACTCAGACTTGGGCACTAGAGCCGAGGGAAGATTCCTCAACCCCCCCCTCCCCCTCCCCTCCCCCCCCCCCCACATCCGACACCCTACACCGCAAGCTCTAAACCCTACAACCCTGAACCCCCAATGCAGGATTCAATTTTGTAAACCCCGCTCAAATAATGAAGAACTCGAGTCACGGAACTCAATTGTTAACCACAGCCCCGCAAGAAAATAGAAAAAGAAGCGGCGCCGAGAACTCAATAATCATCTCGTCCCTGACTCTGACTCCAAAAACAACACTCGATCAGCCCTCCAAGAGTCGCAGAGAGAGTCAGCGAGGGTAGTAGGGAGGAGGGATATGAAATCGAAGCCACCGTTGAACCTGAATTCCTGAACCCTCTCGTCCCAGAGGCTAACAGTCTTGACATCATAAGAAAGATTCTTAACTAGTGGCTGATGGAGTTTCTGGTTTGGGCAGCTTGACCTGCTTAGAGAGTTCTGCCTACTGCGCCATTAGACGACCATGTGCACCCAGGCGCCCTTGCTGATTTTTGAAAGCCCTCCACGAGAATGCTGCGATACCGCTTCAGCTAGCCCGTCGAGTGTGTAAATTAACGGGTCTGGGCAGTGCACCTGCAACTTCTGCTGTGACCCAGTGTGAAGGCTATTGGCCAGTAAGGTTCGAGCTGGGGTTGTGAGGGAGGGGGCTGTTGAAAGTAGCTAGTGTATCTATGAAGTTGGATTTAAGATACACTCAGTCTTCAATACATCTTGGCTCCTGTTGATGATTTGTTGGCGCCTTATCGCCGCGAATCAGATGAGGAAGTTAACAGAATGCTTTTGTTCTACGGGATGGACTACTGAATGGTTGACTGATCCAAGTATGCATGCTTTGATAGACCTCAATCTTCTCTGAGGCATTTCTGCGTTGTCTCGCTGGTAGGTCTGCTGGTGTGGGGCTTAACATTCGGACCAAAAAGGTTCCCAGTTCCTGCAGCACCCAGGGTTGAATTTTGAATCACATTGTACCAAATCCTGGTCAACCCCGCCTTAGCACTCGGCCCTGTTGTAGTTTGTAGGTGCTCGGGCGCTTGTGGCCAACGTAGTGCTGACTTAGTTTGGGTTTTCGTCGATCTTCCGACTGACAGCACAACACGATCCTGAAAGTTTGGCTTTAGGTGGGAGAAGCTAGAATCCTGCACGCTACGTTCAATTCTATTTCTCCATGTTTATGACTATGAAGGAACATGTGAGAACATGCTACAGTATACTTCAGAATGTCAACCATGATACGGAATATGACTCAATGCTTGAAAGCCGTGTGCGTGCGGAACATACATAATGTGCTGATATGAGGGAGCCAAAAAGCACATAAGCATAAGCATGTTACCGGGATATCCCTACCTTATTGGGCTTCGTTAAAAGGGGGTTTATATGGGATATCCCTATCCTAATTTTTGCTAGTGTGCTTTTTGGGGGCCCTGTGATACACGTTTATTGTTGTGAAGCCTCGTGAAACACAACCCTCTTTGATGCTGAAATACCTGAAGATGACATTGCTTGCTATTGCGAGTATGGAGCATTGATAAACATTATGTTCACTATATTCGCTTATTCATTGCGCGCTGCATACAGATTGGCTGGTAC